GGTGCCTCTCACTTCTGAACCACAGTCCCCTGCTGCCGCCCCCCACCCCCCCCCCCCCCCCCCGCCCCTGGCAGGAGCACATGCTGGGATCACACGACCCCAGACAGGTGTAGACAGTGGGTACAGCCTCCACCATGAGGTGCGTGCAGTGCACCTCATGTGGAAAGGAGGGCAGCTGGGGCACCACATGCTGTTCTGCACCGCTGGCTGGGCTGGGGTACAGCACAGCATGGTACGGAGGACCAGTGCTGTGCTGTGCTTTGTAGCAGCAGCATGAAGCAGAGCAAAACTGGCCCAGCCATGCTGCAGGCAGCAGGAAGAGGGGGAGGGTCTCCTGGCCCTGTCCTGCGTGAGCTGGAGGATGGGGGCTGCGGCTCATGTTGGCAGTAGCAGAGCAAGTCTGGCCTGGGTACAGGCTGGAGGAAGGAGGAGGAGATGTCTGTGGCACCCTCTGCTTTGGGTAGGGGCTTCTACTGCAGCAGGTGGACTGGCTGGGGCGCCCCCCCCCCCCCCCCCTGCCCCTCCCAGCTGCCCTACCCCTGCAAGCGTGGGCACTAGTGCCAGTAGCCCAGCCCCACAGCAAACACCCCACCCCACCCAAAGGAACACTCATGGCCACCCTGCCTGGCCCAAGATGCATACCAGCTGGATGTCTCTTGGGTTTGCACTAAAATATTTTATTGGATTATTTTACAATTATAACATGAACTGTAACAGGGTCGCACTCAGAGTGGTGGTGGATGGGTCGGTGTCAACTGGGAAAGATGTGTGCAGTGGAGTCCCTCAGGGCTCAGTTCTGGGGCTGGTGCTATTCAACATCTTCATCAGTGATCTGGATGAGGGGGTGGGACCCTGTCCAAAGTTGTGGATGACACTAAAATATGGGGTGAAGCTAACACCCTGGAGAGGAGGAACCATATCCAGGCTGACCTAGACAGGTTTGGGAAGTGGGCAGAGAGCAACAGGATGCAGTTCAATAAGGACAAGTGCAAGGTGCTGCATGTAGGGAGAAAGAACTGCCATCATACCTATAGCCTGGGGGGTGACCTTCTCAGCACCACTGAGGCAGAAAGAGATCTTGGAGACACTGTTGACTCCAGAATGAACATGAGTCGTCAATGTGATAAAGTAGTCGGCAGAGCCAATCGCACCTTGTCATGCATCCGTAGGTGCTTCACGAACAGGTCCAGGGAGGTGATTCTCTCTCTCTCTCTATGCGGTACTGGTCAGGCCGCAGCTGGAGTACTGTGTTCAGTTCTGAATGCCACAGTTCAAGCGGGATGCAGACAACCTGGAGAGGGTCCAAAGAAGAGCCACTCGTCTGATTGGAGGCCTGCAGGGAAGGCCCTATGAGGAAAGGCTAAGGGACCTTAACCTTTTTAGCCTGTCCAAGAGAAGGCTGAGAGGGCCTTGTGGCAGCGTACAAATTCATAAGGGGAGAGCAACATGAAGTAGGCGGCAATCTGTTTACCAGGGCACACCCTGGAACAACAAGGAACAATGGCCATAAGCTACTGGAGAGTAGGTTTAGACTGGACATTAGAAAAAAGTTCTTCACGGTCAGGGTTGCCAGGATGTGGAATGGGCTTCCAAGGGAGGTGGTGCTCGCCCCATCCTTGGGGGTCTTCAAGAGGAGACTGGACAGGCACCTGGCTGGGATTACATGATCCCAGGTTTGCTGACCCTTTTCTTGCCTGCCAGGGGCAGGAGGTCGGATTAGAGGGCCCACTGAGGTCCCCTAGAATCTATGAAATCACAAAAGTACATTTCTATCAAATCCTATGCAAGATATAAGCTTAAGAATGACAAAACTGAACACAGTTTCACACTAGCTGCAAATAAAGACTAAACACCACAGGAGTAAATCTTATCTGGCAAAATACTTCTGCATGTGGCATGGTAAGTCCCAAATGCAACTGGGTTTTGAGGTGAATCTGTGACAGGCAAACATTCTTATGTGCCTGTCGTCTTATAAACTTTTGCCTATTGACTAGCATTATTGGTATAGATTATGGCAGGGGTTGCCATTAGTGGCACACAGAGACATTTTTCCTGGCACGCTGGGAGGCACGCAAAGAGATTGGGTTTTTTGGTTTTTGGGGTTTTTTTAAAGTTGCTGCTCCGGGCTTTCCTGTGCAGCCACAAGTCTCAGTGCCGCGGCAGGCACCGGGGCAGAGCCAGAAGAACACAGGCAGGGAGGCTGTCTGTGCTCTACTGCCCCCACCCCTTGCTCCTGCGCTGTACCCTCCAGCCCAGCTGGCCCCTGGAGGGACCTGCCCAGGCAGGCAGACGCTCTGTCCCACCCAGGGCAGCACTGAGGTGCCGAGTGCTGGGGCTGGGCGGTCGGGACAGGGTCTGGGCGGCATTGTGGGGGAGGCGCTGCGGGCAAGCCAGTCCAGTCAGGCCCTTAGGAAGGCGGGGACTGGGCAGGAAGTGGGGGTTGCCCTGGGGCTCTGCAGGCTCAAGCTGTGGTAGGCGGGGGTGCCCAGCGGCACCCGTGGTCGGGCCCGGGCAGCCTGCGCAGCTCAGCAGGGATGGCCAGCCATCTTGTGCACTTGGGGATGCTGCCTGGCTGGGGCAGGATGCTGGGCTTGGGGGGGCTTCCCTCTCCGGGATTGGCATCCCTGCATGCTGGGCACAGTGCAGGCAGGGCAGAGCTGTCCCTGGTGCAGAGGCCCGGCCGTGGGAGCCCCCTGGAGCCTGGGAACAGCCACCGTGCTGCCTCAGCTTGCCCGGGTCCTGGCCTTGCCCACCCACAACTCCCCTCAAGGGGCCAGGGCTGGGGCAGGCACTGCACAGAACCACTGTGCTGCAGGCTTGGCCCTGAGCACCAGCTGCGGCGGCTGTTCCCAGCGCTTGGGAACAGCCTGTGACCACGCTCTTACTGTACCTGGCACACACAGAGACCAAGCAGGAGCTCCCTGAGCCCGACATTCTGCCCCAGCCAGGCAGCGTGCTCCCTTTGTGGGCAGGGTGGCTGTGCCCCAGCACCACGGAGCTGTGCAGGCCAACTGGGGCCCACCTCCGGTGCTGCTGGGGCCCCCCGCTGTGGCCTGAGTAGCTGAGCCCTGGGGCAGCCCCCACTCCCTGCCTGACACCAGCTCTCAATTTACTGTAAGAAAAAAATAAATAAATAAAAGCAACGTTAAGATTATTCATAGTATTAAATATGCAGGGCATCCTGCCACGTACCCCTTCTGCCCCAGTTTTGTTTTTGTGGCATACTGGCACTCCGGCACCTTACAAGGTAGACATTGTGGTTTTTTTGGCACTCCGACCAAAAAATGTTGCCTACCCCTGGATTATGGTATGGATTGTTATGATGTATGGACATGCCTATTCTGCCATAAGGTTTTTTCAATGTAGCATCAATCCTGTCTAATCATTAGTGTCCTGTTATACTGCAGGCAGCAACCAAATGTTGAGTTGTGTTAATATAACTATATTGGTTTCAGTGCACAAATTAGATTGCACTAAAAATAGGGCCGAGTCCCATCCAAAAGTGGGACCTAGACACACACATCCTATTGAAAATGTTATTGTCCTGTCTTAAGCTGAGTAATAGTTGAGTGAATATGCCAAGCCCTGTTACTATTATTTCATATGTTTTGTAGAAGGCTGGAGATGTATTTAAAACCATTTTTTTTTTTTTAAAATAGATTGTCCCTTCTTGTATTATTAATTAATAGAATAGTAATGTTGGCTACAAATGTCCAACTCGGGATCCTTAAAATTCTGGCTTGTTAGGCGGATTGAAACACTGTAATGAGTTAAATCATAAACCTTGGGGCTGGTCCCCACACGCACACGCGCGCACACAGTAGCAAGCTACAGTCAGGTATACCTATCCTACAAGCGCTGGAGTCTGCCGTTGATGGCCAGTCGAGGTTTCTTTCAGCGTGGTGTTATCCTCCAGAAGGGGGTCGCCGGCTAGTCCTTCTGGCTAGACAGGTCTGGTTGACTTGGAGATCAAGAGGGCGCCCCTGAGGGTCACACTTCACTGCCTTTTATCTGTCCTTGGCAGACATTGGTGACTCCCCAGTTTTCGCAGGTTTGGGAGTCCGTTGATTAATTTAGAATAGGGCTCTGGGAGTGGTTGATCTGGAGATATTCAGCCCAAAAGTTGGTCCCTGGCGTTGATTAACTCAGACCAGGGCTTCTAGCCCTTGATCAGTGAGGTTTAGAGATTTCCCGGTTGTTACATTGTCTTCTATTGAGTTCTTCCCTTGGTTGATCTGCAGCTTCCAGGTGATAATTGCTGTCTGCTACTATGTTACACATTCAATCACGTTACACATTCAATCACTGATTCACTCGCTCTTTCAGGGGCCAGCCTGATACAGGCAAGGGCAATTTGATTCCTGCCCCTGTTAACATTGTTACAATGTATAATTTACTTATGAAACTAAACACATTCAGTTGAAAGTTGAAAGGTGAAGAGTATAAAATATAAGCTACAAATGCCATGGCACACAAATAGATAAAAATACCAAAATACAAGGGGAGATACAAAATGCACACATACAAATTTTAAAACACAATTCCTTATCTTAAAGTGAAAGAGAGAGGAAGGAAGAAAAGGTAGAAAAAGAGAAACATATCCAAAAAGGGGAGAGCAAATGCAGGCAAGAGGAAAAGGGGGCTTTCTGCTACAGTAACACCCTGAGACCCCAGTTCAGGAGTGCTCATTGGGCTGTGCACATACAAGACTCATAGTATGAGGCAGTTGTTGGCTAGCAGATGAGGAGTATTAGAACTGATACTTTTGGGTCATTTGCAGGGGGCTAGTTTCTTTACAGACAGGCCCTTCTTTACAGACAAAAGTCCCTGATTCAGGAAGCCACCATTGCAAGTGTCCTGTAAGTCTAATCCTTTATGGTAGATTTTCTGAGGACTGGATGTAAGTTTTAAATACAAAACTTCCTATGTATATGTGCATGCATGTGTATATGCACCCACACACATTCATTTAAAAATATATATATGTTTATACAGGTAGTGGTGCATTTACTATTCGCCATGAGAGAACCAGCAAGTGCCTACAAGTTAAAAACTCACGGATAGTGACAGCAGACTGCAAAGAGACACATGAGACCTTATGGAAATGGGTCTCCCGAAATCGCCTTTTCAATTTGGGATCCAAACAGTGCCTTGGACTAAATCTAGCCAATCTTCAATCTCCTTTGAAAATGGTTGTTTGTAACTCCCAGCTTATGCTTATGCTATGGTGGCGATGTGCTGATGCTTCTGTAGTTGGTGCGTCCCGGTACAAGCTGACTTTGAAGAATGAAATTGTTGTAACTGCAAGTATAAATTCATCAGACTGCTGGAGAAGAAACAACTCTTCTGATGATATCTGCCAACAGCCTTATCGGGGTAAGTCTGTGGTTTTAGTTTGGAAGAAGTGTAAGTGCTTTGATTTTTGCCATGGCTTTGGTATCTATTAAGTCTGATTGAAGGAATAAAATGTGCTGTGACAAAAAACAAAAATAATCTCGTTCAGTCAATGCACAATTTTAAAAAGAATGGCATTTAGCTATTTACCACAGAAGAGCACTGTCAAGAGAAGCTAGTTTGAAACACCATTCTTTGATGTATAAAATGTTAGACACCTTCCACCAGGATTATACTTTATAGGCCTGATTCTGTCCCTGGTTAAAGCCATGGGCATTTTGCCATTAACTTCTGTGAGAGCAGGATTTCAGGCTATTTTTTTGCTACTGATTAGTAGTATGATCAGTATGATCTGACTAGTATAATTCAGGCGCGGAAGAGTAGCATGTTATAGACTAATTCAGTCAGTCATGAGCTTTCATAAGCTACAGCTTACTTTTCTGATGCCATGATTGCTTACCTGCAGCGTTTACAGTATTTATCTACAGATTATTGTGAACCACAATAACTGCTACTTTTCGGACAGATTCTGAAAATGTAGAGAAATAGCCACTTTTCCTAGCAAAAATGTCTATCCACTTTTCCCAGCATTCCCCACTTTACCCAACAATAGCATTGTTTTAAATATTAAAAATTAGTAATGTTTTTGCAATAATCCACTCACTTTTTGGTAGAAAAAATAAATATAGGTTTATACTGTGACTTTTATCTGAAGCCTGGTATGAAGGGTGGCAAAAGCAGCTACAGCACTCCAGGAGTACTACAGGGAAGACGGGGGGAGAGAGAGTTTCCTTCCAATGCTGGCTCATCACCAGGGATCTGAGTTTTCTGTTTCCCACAGAAAAAAATGTGGATTTCCCCTTTTTAACAGAGAGAAAAAGCAGGTTTTTAATTTTAACAAAAGGTACCTTCAGATTTTCTACTTTTTTTAGAGAACTGTCTGCAAGCTTCTTGCAAAAAGGGCAGCAAACCCTAAGTCCTGTCCCAAGGGGGAAGGGGTAGGGCATGAGACTGTCAGTCAAGGCTTGGCTCAGGCTCACTTTCCCTCCTGGAGCCTTTGAGGTAAGTGGGGCTTGCAGTGGGGCTTGCCAGGGCTGGGGGATTGTGGGAAAAGCTGCCAGGGTGGGAGGTGTAGGTGGGTGCTGAGGGAGTGGGGAGGTGTCTGCAGGAAACCCCATGTGGAGGGCTGGCTTGGCCCCATGGTGCATGGACTGGGAGCTAGGTGGGAAGCGACACATGGAGGCACAGAGTTGTGCACCATTGAGCTGGGTGGGCTTCTGCTTGCCTCCATGTGTGGCTTCCTGCTGGAGTGCTGCAAGCTCCATGTGGAGGCACGGAGCCTGCCCAGCTTGATGGTGTGTGGCTTCTGCCTGCAGTGTTGTGATCTGCACATGCTGGCATGGAGCCAGCTCAGTGCGGTGCAAAGGTGTATGCCAGTTCCATGCCAGCACGTGTAAGGCCTGGGACTCAGCCAAGCCACATGCTTCCAGGGCCTCTGCCTGATGTGGCCATGAACACCCCAAGGGCCTGCTGCTGCTGAGCCCCTGGTGGTGGGGCACCGGCACAACAAATCTCTGTCTCTCTCATCCCTTCATAACCCCGCCCACAAACCCCACATACTTCTGTATACACACCCATACCATCATATAACACTTCACAACCCTCTCAACAACTCCACACCTGCCCATAAACCCCCTCCACACACACGCCCATGCCACTTCACAACCACACCCACGTACCCCCCCACACCCCTACACAGCCAGGAATGCAGTCCAGTGGCTGGGAGAGCAGCATCCAGTGAACAATTCTGTGTGGGGAGGGAGGCATGTGGAGGGGCAGATCAGGGCCCCATGATGAGGGAGGGAGTAGGGCTGGGGCAGGCACTGCCCAGCCCAGTGCAGGGCAGAGCCACGGGTGGCTTGTCTGGGGAGTGCAGGGGGTTAAGGAGAGGGGTCAGCTCCCAGCACCGCATGCTTCCTGGGGGAGGCATGGCAGGGCATGTGCCCCCCAGATCTGTGCACTGGGCAAGGGTGTGCTGTGCCACCAGTGCTGGGAAGGGGAGCTTCGGTGAATTTTGAGGTGGCTGTAGCCCCCTGTAGTGCCCCCTCCCAGTGCTGCACTGCCTGCCCCGCCCCTGCCCACCTTTAACCCAGCCGCAGCCCAGGCTTCCTGCTAGGAAGAGACTGGCACAGCCCCCAGCCCTGAGCATGCAGCGGGCAGCCTGCCCTCACCCTGTGCACAGATCCGGGGGCACATGCCCCCCATGTCTCCCCAGGATGTGCACAGTGGCGGGGGCCCCCCTCCATCCCCCGTGCCTCCTGGACGAGCTGCCCGTAGCTCCTATCCCACACCATGCTCTGCCCCACCCCGGCTATGCAGTCCCTGCCCCAGCTCCATTCCCTCCCCCACACCCCTTTCCCCCAGCAGACTTATCAGCCAGACGCTGCTCTCCAAGCTGTCGGGGTGCATATTGACTATTGGATCGGTATCAGCTAATATGGCTTGTCAATAATCGTCCGTTGGTATCAGCCCAGAAAATATGTATTGGTGCACCCTTAGTATTTATTTTATTATAGTGACTTGGGCATTGGTAGGATTCCGAATTGCTTTAAAACTGTAAATATATCAATAAAACATTGTGTTCAACTGATGCCTCATATATATACATATATACACACACACACTATGATATAGTATACTATATATGTATACTATAATATAGTGCCCTTTCATTTTAATCATGGATTTTGGGGGTTTTATCAGGGATTTTTTTTTATCAGAGAATTTGCTATTTTTATCAGAGAAAATCAAGATCCCTGCTCATCACACCCTCTGTCTGTTTCCTATTTACTGGCTCCACAGAGAAGTGAGAGTATTCAGTATTTTCTTATTCCTCTGTACTTGGACTCAAGATCTATGTAGTCTGCACAGGAATGAAATAAGGGTCTTGCTTTCCTCTTTCATTAACTACATAATTTTAAGCACAGTCTCTAGTAATTGTCATTTTCTGTAGTCGTCACCCAGTCAGTCTACAGGATTGCAAAATCCTGTTGCAATCTACAGGAGTTGGACTTCAGTAATAGCTGAAGAGTTTGGCATAATAGCTATTTCTTTAGTGCAGATGTGAGTAGTCTTCCTGCTGTGGGAAGCTAAGCTGTGGGGAAATATAGAGATCAGTGGCTCCTTCCAAACAGCTCAACAACTGCCTGGCTTGAAGGAACTCTGCTAGATTCTCTGTAACAGTAGTGTGACAATGGTGGATGAGCAGGGCAGGAGCCCCCCTGGTGCTGCCTGAGAGAGAGTATAGTGAGCAGAAGTTTGCTGCTGCAGGGGATGGGAAATGTCAACTCAGGATGGGGTAAGATCCAAGACAACCTGCACACTGAGCTGCCTGAAGTCAGTGCACTAAGCAGGCAGATGAAAGTGGCCAGTAAAAATTCCATCCCACAGCTCAGGCATCTTCATCTACCTGTAATTTAGAGCCTTGAATCTTCTTCTGAGTCTTCTCCTAGACCTCTTCTTTCAAAAATGGGGCAGGGATCACTTTCTTATGATTTAAAACACCAAGAAGAAGAGGTAGTGGGAGGTGTCCCCCCCCCTTTTATACCATGGCCTGATGATTACAACATTCACCCAGGACTTTAAAGACTGGACTTCCTCCACCTTAGCAAGTTCAAATCTGCACCTTCCCCACTGTCCCACCCCCAGTAGAATGCCCAAAGTCCCAGGCTCTAGTTTGCTCTACCATGTCATCCCCTCCTTTGAAGATCTAGCACTGTGCAGAAAAAAATCAAGAATCATTGGTTCAGAGAGAGATCAAAAGTAAGCGTGACTTTGTAACTTCATGGTTATGGCATGCTTCTGGGAGTGGGGAAACTAGGTTCCTCTACTGCTGCTGCTTTTAGTTTATAGCATCAGGTAACAATTATGCATGTTGCAGGCAGTTGAGTCTCACTTTGAACAGCTGAAAACTACCTAGATTGTCATTGACGTAAGGGTTTTCTTGTCCTCTGTTATAGGACCTCCAGCTCTGTGCTTTACTTGTCCACTTGCATGACCAGAATAAAAAACAGCGTAATTTTCAACTGTCATCTTTCCTGTACTTTACAAATATATCTCCTCTGTGGCAGCAAGGGAACTTGTAGCTTCCTTAACTCTTATGTTACTGTCTCAGTCTGGCCTAGAGCAAATGGAGCTCTAATATTCCAGATTACAATAAGGGTTATATATTTAATTATTGTCCCAAACCCATAACCATTTCAGTTAGGGAAGCCTGATAGGTCTGGGTCAATATCCATATAAATCGTTTTAGCTCCTAAACAATTTCTAAGTTTTGAATGTAATAACCTATTAGTCCAGTCCAGCTCATGGGAATACTATATTTCAGCCTGCTGGACTGTTTGGTGTGGACATCGACAATTCCAACCTTTCCAAGGTTAATAAGCTTGGATTGATCTGATTTGCAGAAAGAATTTTCCTCTTCTAAGCAGACTTGCCTGAAAAGTCTTAGAAAAGATTTGTCTACCTGGTTTTCTTTCCCCTAAACAGTTTTGCCTGAGAGGAAGAAGCTCAGTCAGTCCCATATGAGGAGGAGAGTTTTCCTCTTCTAGGTATTATTGGTTCACACATTACAACTTACACTGTAATATTTGATGCAACGCATTACAACTTGCACTTAATATTTGATGCAACCTGTCTAGGTTTCCCCAGGATGGCCTGTCCCCATCTATCGTTTGGAGTACACCTCTGTGTTGGTATATTCCAGTGCAAGAAAAACAAGCTACAGAATTTTTTCCTCTAAACTGTTGTTTTGATAGATTGAGTTAACTTTAGAATACTACTGTATAAATAGCAACTTTTATTTGATCTTTCTTTTCAACAAACTAAATACTCTGTTTGGTTGTTTCTCCTACAGAGATCTTTACCAAGGATGGCAACTCCTATGGAAAGCCCTGCGAGTTCCCCTTTCTTTTTAATAAGACCTGGTATCATGATTGTATTCGGGACAAAACACATACAGGTGGTGAATGGTGTGCCACATCTGACAATTATACTCGGGATGGCTCCTGGGGAATCTGCTTAAAACCAGGTATATAGAGTTTCTAAATGGATATCCTAAGGGACTTCTGCTATTTCATGTGTGTGCAGCTCCATTTTTGGTGCAGTATCTGTTAAACCAGGGGTAGGCAAAATACAGCCTGCAGGCCAAATCTGGCCTGTCAACTGATTGGATCCAGCCCATGGGGGCCACCCACAAATTGGGTGGATCCAGCCAGCAGCTGCCCCCACAGCGCTTCTCATGGGGCCAAGCCCTGCCTAGGGCAGCCTGTGCCACGCTGCAGCCCACGCCCGCCTACCCAGCCCCAACCAGTGTGCACAGCTTACTGGCAGGGCTGTTCCTGGTGTGGCTGCAGCCACCCAAGTGCTGCTTAGTAGGGCTGTGTGAAGCTTTGGTCACTGATTCAATTCGGAGGAGATTTGGCCCGATTCGGCAGTTGAATCTCCAAATCCAGATTAATCGGGAGACCCGTTAATCTCTCCGAATTGAATTGAAAGTCTCCAAATCAGTTTGGAGAGATTCAACGATTTGGCCATAGACACAGCTTTATATGGGGTTTTTTTGGGGGTTTTTTTTTTCTTCTGCTTACCTCAAGGTACCAGGTGCGGCTCATGAACGCTGAGATGCTGGGGCAGATGGAGCATCCCACAGGTGCACCGAGGGGTCCCCTGCACACTCGGCAGTGGACTGGAAGTACTTCTGGTCCACTTCTGGGTCTGCCACAGAGCATGCAGGGGACCCTCTGCCCCAGGGATCCCCCCGCCCCCCCCCCTGTGACTGGTGCCTCTTGGTTTTGGGGGGGCACCCGGGGTTCCCCCACAGCCGATCACCGAACTGGGGAGGCATGTGTGTGTGGGGGGGATCCACCGAGCGTGCAAGGAGCCCCCCCCCGCACTCCTGTGGGATGCACCATCTGCCCCACCATCTCAGCGTCCATGAGCCACGCCTGGTACCTCAAGGTATGTAAAAAAACCATATAAATCTGTGTCTGTGGCAGAATCGCTGATTCTCCAAATCAGAATTGAACCTTCAGATTCAGCCGAATCGAATTGGGACAGTGAGCTGAATCAGCAAATTGAATCACTGTCCCCCAGATTGGGCTGAATCCGAATTGAATACTGCCCACTTTGCAAACCCCGACTGTTTGGCTCCCCTCACCTCCAGCAGCGCCGCCTCCTGCTCTCTGCCACACTGCTCCAGGCTAGGAGAAAGCTTTAGCTGAGCAGCTCCTGCGCCACTGCACAGGGCTCTGGCTCCAGCTCCCAGTTGCCTTCCACCCACTCAGCTGCCTGCACCAGGAGCAACCCTGCCAGAAGCCATGCATGCTGGCCAGGGCTGGGCCAGCAGGTGCAGGCTAGAGCATATCATGGGATGCCCTGGGGAGGCTTCAGCCCCATGCAGAATGCCACAGGGGCAGCCACGGACCTCGCCACCTAGGTGAACTCTGCTGTACATGCCCCCTGCTCCCTCCCCCACCACCCTAGCCCCCAGCCGACTCCTGGGAGCCCTCCCTCCTCACACAAACACTCCACAATCCCTTCTACAGGGCAGAGACCACCCCACAACCCTGCCCCATGATCTTAGCCTCGCCAGCTTGGCTTACTCTCTAACATTGCTTCTCGCCCCCCACATAGGGAGTTTTGGTGAACTGTTGCATGGGGCAGGGGCAGTGCTGACCCAGCCTGCAACAACTCATCAAAACCGGGCCCAGATAATTGCCCCACCCTGGTTGTAAACTGTGAATCTGGTCTCATTTTTATTGTAGTGTGATATAACAATTAACACAGACTCTGCAGTATGAATGATTTAAATATTCATCTTAAACTGCTTCCTTTTCTCTTTACAAAAGCTTTGGGAGAAGAAAAAGCCCAAATGTGGCTATTTGTTTACTATAGTCATTGGTATTATGTGTTTGTATTAAACAGAGGATGGTTGTCATGATATCTGGGAACATGATCCAGGAGCTGAAAGTTGTTACCAGTTAAACACACAGTCTGCTCTTTCTTGGAAAGATGCTTATATTTCATGCCTAGGACAAGGGGGAAATTTATTGAGCATCCAAAATGCAACTGAATTAAGTTACATACAAGGTAGGTGGTGTTATCAATGATATATGGGTGAGGCGTGCATATTTATCTCGGGAACGTTTGACAAGCAAGTCACTTGAAAGGTAGCATATTATAGTCTTTCTTAAAATTCTGGGTTAATATTTGTTGGCACCTAAGTTGTCTGGGTACTGTAACTTGTATACTTAGAATTAATTGTCTTAGATTCTCTTATAACTCAACTGCTTTCATTGCGGTGTCCTATGAATGTAAATGGGAGCTGATGATGAATGTCCACAGTTGAGTCAGCATGACTGTTTAGTGTCAGCACATTATGTGGATTCCAGATTCCACCTTTGATCTGGAAACCAAATTAATTACTTTCTAATAGTGCATTCATCCCTTAGGAGTGTCTTGTTCCATTGTCTTATAATCATTTGTACAGACATTCAGACTTGGACCGGAGGAAACATTGCATGCTGTTAATAATATAGGAAAGTCAAAGAGGGAGCAGGCAGGAAGGGAATGTTTCAGTGCTGTAATACAAATTCTGCCCAGAAGTGCATGTGCTTAATTCCCATTTAGTTTAATAAAACTTGTGCATCCATATCCAGTGGCAAAAAACTTCAGACTTTTTCAGATAGCTTCCTTACTTTAAATCAGCTGTTTTAATGTATAAACATTTTGCATTAACTGCTTTTTCCAAAAATAACTATAGCTAAAGATGGCATTGCAGAGAGATTTTGGATTGGTTTAAACCAGCTGGACATTTTTGGAGGTTGGCAATGGTCAGACCACACACCCTTGAATTTTATTAACTGGAATTCAGGTAATCGTATTATCAATTCTATTAACTAATTATTGCACAAGTTAGAACTTTTATTTTGCATTTTCCTTCAGTTGATTTTATCACAGCAGATGTTGTTGTTAAAAGTTAAGAAATATCTTTAAATATTTTTCTTTTAAAGGTAAATCTCACCATCTGTACAAGTTTTAAACTATAGAAGAGTAAGGTTAATAAACTGACAATTAAAAACAACAGCTTAAAAACATACTCTGAAATTGCCTCGTAGCTTGTACAGCAGCAGGCTCACTTGACAAGTTCCTTTCCCCACTGACAGAATGGAAGAGATTTAATACAGAAATTAAAGCATTCTTAGATGCGATTCTTGAACACTTCAACTGGACAGCATTTGCTGCTATATTTTTTTAAGCATATTTTTAGCAGCGTGCGTCATAAATGCACAATAATACATATATGCAAGGGGGGTGAGGTATATTGCTACATCATCCTGACATGCATTTAAAATCAACTGCAAAGTTATGATAGCTTGTTTCTATAGAGGAGGTTAGGAAAGGAGAGCGATTTTAGGAAATGTATACGGATTGATCAAAGTTCCCACTGATACTAATGAGATTTTTGTTTGTTTGTGTGCCTTTGGAATTTGCATTTCTGTATTTGTACTCTGGTTTCATTTGTTGTGGATATTTATGTATGAAAATCTTTGTAATATAGTTCAGTGTGAATACTGAGGTGAACATTTCCTTTCAAACTGTCTGCCTAAGGAAATGAGTAAGAAGACAGATAAGACATGGTTTCTCTGGGAGTCTATCATTTTTTAACAAGTTTACCAAGTAGAGTTTTTTCATAAGACTTGCTGCATTAACCTTTCTTTTTACAAAGTCTAAGTACTTACTCTGCCACCATATATACTTTTTCCACAAGTAGAGGTACACCAATAGAGATTTTTTGGGTTGATACCGGTGGCCGATTTTTAATGAGGCATATCGGCCAGTACCAGTCCAGTTGCCAATATGCAGCCCAGCAGCTTGAAGAGCAGCATCCGACTGGTAAGTCTGTGGTGGAAGGGGTGTGGGGGGTGTAGATTGAGGCCCCCACAGTGAGGGAGGGAGGGAGTGGGGCTGGGGCAGGCGCTACACGGGGGCAGGATGGAGCACAGGACGGTGTCCTGAGCAGCTTGTACAGAGTGGCGTGGGGGAGACGACTCCTGCTTCTGCACACACCCCTGGAGAGCATGGGCGGCTCATGCTCCCTATATGCGGTCAGGGTGGGTTGCCATTGTGGGCTGGGGGCAGCACTGGGCTCTTCCTGGTGGGGGAGCTGGGCCGGGCTACACTCAGGATGGTTGGTGGCAGCACTGGGAAGGGGGCTATGGAAGGGGGTTGCGGCCCCCACCAAAATTTGCCGTAGGGGCCCCCCCCAACCCTGCCTCCCAGCGCCACTGCCCACCCCAAGCACAGCCTGGCCCAGCCCCTGCCTCAGCCCATAGCAGTAGCCTGCTCTCACGCTGCACGCAGATCATGGGGTACATACTCGTCCATGCCCTTCCAAGGTGTGTGCAGTGATGGGAGCTTTCCCCCCACTCCCCATGCCAGACAGAGCACAGCTCCGTTCTTTGTGCCACCCCAGCTGGACAGCACCTGCCACAGCCCCACTCCCTCCCTCACTGTGGAAGCCTCGATCTGTCTTCCCATGCCCCTTTCCTCTACCCACCCCTTCCACCACAACTAGCTGGATGCTGTTCTTCAAGCTACTGTGCTACACTACTTGCCACCTGCATGCTGCATTGCAGCTGCACATATGTACGGTGTATATATTGGCCACATCAGCCAAAAAAAGCCGATTGCTGATACTGACAATTTTCATTATGTTGGTGCCTATCTGATATGGGACCAATGCATCAGTGCATCTCTATCCACAAGTATTTGTCTTTGGAACTGTGTTAAGCAGTAATGTGTAAATACTTAGACAATGTAGCTCAAAACTAAAAACTTTCAGGTAACAGAGGCCTAACCAAAATGTAGATCCAGGATTTACTAAAGGAGGGTGTGGCACACTGCCCCTCAGAGCATGAGGGTGCTGCACTGAGGTGTGGTTGGATTCCCCCAGGTCAATAGGGGACATTGGGGAGCTAGGTAGGGAGCAGGTACAGAAAGGGTGTGGAGACCTGGCCCCCGTTGACACCACTGCTGCTATCCCAGGGAGCAGCTGTCCAGAGCCCCAGACTCGGCTAGGGACAGCAGCTGCAGGGCACAGTTTCCTCCTTCTAATGTTTTCTCCTTGTCTGCCTTTCCTCCCCCACAGGTATCCAGGAGGAGCTGTGGAAAGAGGAACCTGTGCACTGCTGCTCCCTGCAGGGCAGGAGCACAGGGCAGGAGTAGGTCAAGAGCAGCTCTGGGGTGCTCTGTGTGACAGGGACAGCAGCAGTAGCACTCAGGTTCTTGTTTCCAGCACCTGATTCTGGCCAGCAGGGGAAGCATACAGGGAGGGGTGGAGAGGGAGCAGGTGCTGGAAAGAGGAACTTTTATATCATCCACTGCTGTGACTGTCACCCACATAGCTATGGCTGGAGCAAAGCAGGAGTAGCTCTGGGTCTCCCTTGCACCCAGATCAGTTGGGGAAAGTAGCAAAAGTGAGGATATATTTGCACTGTTGCATCTCCCCTGGATCTTCCCTTGGCCAAACTCAATAAGTTATATATCTGGATCCACTTCTTGTTGAAGTTGATAGCAAAATTCTCATTACCTTCCAAGTCTGCAGGAATGAGTCTTTCATCAAGAAACTAAATTACTGTTTGACAGAAGTTTCCAAGTAGCACAGAGTGTTAATCAGGAGTAAAACTGTCTGTAATGTGTTTTTGAAAGAGTCAAAAGAATTGTAACTGTGATTTCCAAATACAGAATTCCACTATCATGAAATCAGGTATTTGTAGCTGAATTGCTATAAAAAAATGCACAGGAAAATTATTTTCCTTTCAAGTAATGTTAAACGAATTTGTATTGTAGTTTCAAATGTTATTTAGTTTTAGTATTAATAGAATATTCTGCATGGTCTTGTGGTTAAGGCATAGTACTGGGAGCCAGGATTTCTTGGCTTGTTTAGAAAACTTCCTATGCAAACTAGGGTAAGGGACTGCACAGTGCATTTTGATCCTCAAATGGAAGGACCTGAGAAGCACAAGGTATTATTATCCTTGCATCAGAAAAACATGACATAAAAGAAGCATTATAATTGTACTGTCTATAAAACTTGCACTCTTACAAGTACTTGTTTCTCTCTTAAGACATGCAAAATTCATCTCCTTTGGGCGGGTCAAGTTGTGTAACAATGGATGCTACCTTTGGTCAGTGGCAAAGTTTCCACTGTGATACTCCACTTCCGTACATCTGCAGGAAACCATTCAACAATACAAATTCAGAATTGCCAGGTAATGCATCCCTGCATATCTGTGTTTTCTGGTCAAAGAATTTATATGCTAACATACAACGATGATGTGATCACCTCCAATCGGTGATCATTCCTCATTCTGATCACATCAGAAATGCTCTCCCAGTGCTGTTTGTGCTGGCCTCCTGTCTTTTGCCACATCAGGTTCAAGCTCTTTGTTTTTAATGAGGAGCATTAACTCCATCTTTTCCTACTCTCACTCCCTCCTTTTTCTAGTTCCCTTGGCACTACTGTCCTTTCTATTGCATGGTCCCATTTTCAGCTTCTGCCTTCTTTCATATTTTACCAGTTGCTTATCCCATTCTTCATGCACCCTCACTCCTCCAGATCCTCCTTAAATCCCATTTTTGTCCAAAGTAGCAGGGTCTAGGTACGTTGAGCATAGGAACCTGGATCCAAGTCCATTGAACCCAATATAATTTTTTTTTCAGCGGGATTTGAGTTGAGTTCAGAACTGGGAACCTGGAATTCTCTCTTTAATTACATTCCATTTTCCATCCAAATAAAGCTTAAAACATAAGTAAAACTTAAAGAAAAAAGATAATAGTAAATGATTGACTTTTTTTAAAATTAATTTTAAAAATTAAAAAAGTGAATAACTGCAGGTTAACTTGTATAGTAATAATATTGCAGGTTAACTTTCGGTATAATAATATTGTAATAAATGTGTATGTTGTGTACAGGAAACAGGCAACTTGTCAAAGTGGAGGGCATGTTTAATGTAAATCAACACATTTTAAGGATTACCAAGTAACAAGAATCAGCCTTTCTTTCACAAAATAACTGGAAAATAGAAAAGACTTTAAAGTGTTTTAAAATCCCTTTGTTTTCAATTAGTCCATCTAAACCTCATTGAAGATGGAGGTTGTTTACAGGAAGGTTCCTTGGGAGGAACAGATGGTAGCTCTTCAAAGTCAGGCCTGTGACTTCCTCTGTTTTCACAATTGAGGCCTTTGAGTGATACTATAATGTACATAAATAATGACATACAGTAAAAATGAAAGCCTTCCAAATTCAAATAGTTGAGCCTGAGCAAGAGAATACAGTATGCACAGAACAAAGCAACTTGCTTTGCTTTCTCACTTCTAAGTTGCGTACTTTAATATACTTGCAAGGAAAATGTGAGTATTTTTCAGGAAAAAAACACACCTTTTCTTTGCATCACAGCTAAGTTAATACCCAACTTTTCATTTCCACTGCAAACTAATTATATTTCTTTGCTCCTTCACTAGTACCCCTAAATTTTACTAATCCCCATAGAGTAATCTTCCCTCTTGACAAACTAGACAGTCACAAGCCTTTAAATATTTTACTATAACTTGATCGTTAGCTTTTATTGTGTTAGAACCTAAACTATGTTTTATAATGTTAGAAAGTCAACATTTCTTAAATGACATCTGTCCATAATTTTTGTAATAACAGTTTGACAAATATTTGTCAATTTGACAAACTGGTGGTAGTCATTGGTGCCTTTTCTGTACGCTTCCTGTGACATGGGAATGGATCTGGACTGTACTTCAGAACCAGAAGTGTACAGAGAGCAGGAGGATAACAGTTCCCAACTGAATTAACACCTTCTGATTGCTTTTTCTTGGACGTTTTAATGTTCTTCAAGAAAATGTCTTACAAATTTCAATTTATATGGTATTCTGGTAACTCATGTGGCATGTAATCCACAGCCTCTTCAGTCTCAGATGTTTGGAAATACATGGAGACTCGGTGCGATTCAGGCTGGCTCCCACACCATGGGTTTTGCTATATGCTGGTAAATAACCAGGTTTCCTGGAGTGGAGCAGATCAGTTTTGCAAAGCAAAAAACAGTGACCTCATCAGCATACATTCTTTAGCAGAAGTTGAATTGATTGTTACAAAGCTTCAAAATGGTAAGTTTGGATACTTAATACAAAGGCCCAGGGTCTAGGGCTGTAGTTTTTTAACATGGAAATTGTAGGAGCCAGTCAGTCAGTGCCCTATCCTATACCACAAATTCATCATGATTCTCATGTTGAGTGTACTGCTGGCTCAATTCCTCCATATTGGCTGTGTTGGAAGAGCAAAATTAATATTTGCCAGACTATAAATTAATGTAGCAGCTGTTTAGATAGAGCTACAAGACCAAATCCTCAGCTTGTATAAGTGCCTAGCTCTATTGATTTCAATTATAATATTGCATTAACTTCCATTAAGTTAGATGAATGCATATCAACTGAGGAACTAGCCCAAAAAGAAGCTCAACCTCTTGTTTTCTTGCTTCCTGTATTGTAGGGTTGCTTGTGCTTGATTTATTTTTAAAGCTTATATTTAATTATGTTTAAAACCAGATGGCAATATATCTCTACCACTTGCTTGTTTTGTCCACAAATTAATAGAACTTGTCTTTTTTCTGTGTTTTTGTTTTCAGTTTCTCTCTCAAACTGAGGGTTCCCCTCTTTTTTTAATTAGTAGCTATTTTGTTTGTATTTGTCTTATAAAATAAATATGTTACCTTTTTGTGAAAATGGTAGGCATAATTATAATAATAGGTAGATGGGAGATGTTAAAAATAATGGTGCGTTTTGGATCTCGAGGGTTTTATGCTCCATCCCAAAGATTGTGTTTCTGTAGGATTGAGCTCGGTGCAACACTGCAGCGGTGCAACTGGTATCTAAAATTCTTTGGATCCCAGTCACACTGCCGCATAGCTACACCCAGCTCAACTGTGCAGATTGGGCAGGCGGTGACTCTGTTCCAGACCCCAGGGCTGCAAGATGTGCAGTCAAACACTTAGGTAAGCAGTGGGATTGGTCAGGGGCAGCTTCCAGTTCCAGTTCAGGACTCAGAGCTGCCCCCAGAGTCTGGTTCCAGAGCCAGCCTGTCCCCAGTTGATGCCAATAATCAGCTGACTGTTGGCATGAGTATGGGCAGCCCCAACCTAGAACACAACACATTCAGTGTCATACAGACCATGGCTGGCTTTCCATTTATGGTGCCATATATTGGCTGAATGTATAGGATGCTGTAATTAGTTACATAAATGTAGTGTCCATCTGGGGGGGGGGGGGGGGGGGGGGGGCGGAGGCAGGGGTGGGGCGCATCTTAGAAACAGCATGGTAAAAAATGCACTGTGCTAGTCAAACTTTTATGGTTTCATTGCAAGAATGGGGTATTTGCAAATAATCTGAGAAAGTTGCAGGCTTTTTGTAGCTCCTGGACTCTTTTACACACTGGTTTCATATTTCTTGGGTTAATATTCCTTTGCAGCTATTGAAGTTGTATCTTTGTCCCCACTTTAACTTACAGAAACTAAAGAGGAAATGTGGCTGGGTCTCATGAATGAAGATATGCCAGCTTTGTTTAAATGGTCTGATGGATCCAAAGTGGTTTTTACTTACTGGGATCAGAATGAACCAAACATTCCTTTTAACAGCACTCCGAACTGTGTATCATATTTGGGACAGGTAGGAACACAGTATTCTTTCAGTCACAGTGGATGCAGTGTTCTACAGCATACATGTATGGAGGCTGAAAGAGAAAATCAAGACAGCCCAATAATTTTTTTTAATAGAAAAATATAGAGAGATTGAAAGCATTTTTTTTGTTTAAAAGTGTGATTGCTTTTTTTCCCCAAAACAGCAGACTTCATGAAATTAGACATGAAAACTGGGCACTATGTATGTGTCTTGGGCTGCAAGGATTATAAAGCATTGGCTACAGTTCTCAGATTCTATGACTGCTTTGACTGTTGTTGGGTAGCCAGTTGCTATCCATGTTGCTCCTCAGGTTTTGTGGGGTTTTTTTATTTTTCTGCTCTACCTTCGTAGTGATAGCTCTTACTATATTTTGCATGACAATAATCCAAGCAGGAGGACAGGTAAAGATATGCAAAAGATTCAAGCCGCAGGGATTCTCAGTATTATGAGTAGCTCTGGTCCAATGTCTCAACGATGGGTAGTGAGATCCTTGGGGTGAAAAGCAGTGGAGAGATGTTGTAGGTGGTGGAGGGAGAAGAGAATTTGGTTTGAAATAAGACAGAATGGCTGAACAGGAGGCAAAAGGGAGGAACCACCACAAAGATGGCACTGAAGACTGTTGAATAACTGGAGTGAGCCTCCAGCACACTGAAGAAGGCCTCCCTGAAGAAAACTGATTTGAGGGAGTTGTGGAATCTTGGGGCAGGATTGGTGAAATGGCCATGGGCTGTAGGACATGGCTGTAGATTCTCTCAATTCTTGGAATATCCAGACTTCTTCACACTCATCTTAACCATTGTTTCTGATGGTGAAATCCAAAAGTTTTGTTTTCTCAAACAAGACTTTTACAAATACATTTGAAATAATGACATGGATTGTACTTGATCTGGCATGTTTGGGAACAGAGTCAAGGCACAGAGGAAGGGTCTGATGGAGTAATCCATGCTGTTGAAACATCGCTAATCTAGCAATCAATACACCTGGTGCTTTCAAGGAGGGTCACAAAAGGCCTAAACAATCTCAAAGCAAATGAGAGTCCATGAAATGTAAAGGAAACTGCGGTCAGCGCTGTCTGGAAGAGCTAGACAAAGATCAGGTGAGGTAGAATAAGGGATACCACAGTACCCTGACATTTAGGGTACTTGGGAATGGCTTTTTGTAGGGCCAGAAGACTCCTACCTTTGTAAAGGAGCAGATCAATTCTGGAATCATGTCCAACAACTTTAATTATTTTGTGTCTACATTATAATGAGGGACAATACATAGTTTTAAAGCAAAGCCTGGACAAAGGCTAAATTTTAAAATGTTTTAAAGTTTGTGTTTTTTTTGTTGTTGTTTTGTTTTGTTTTTTAAATTCCTTTGTTCCATCTTTGTGACAGTTGGGCCGGTGGAGAATCAAATCCTGTGAAGAGAAGCTCAAGTACGTGTGCATGAAAAAAGGAGAGATATTGAATGAAACAAAATCTGATAGACTTTGTTCCCTGAAAGAGGTAATTATTCACAACTAAAAACTTTGTGTCTTTTAATCTTAGGTCTATTAAACATTTTGCGTAAAATAATCTCTTCACTCTTTTAGTTCTGTCTACTTAATTGAATTCTAACTTTAAAAGAATTAATAAAAATATCATAGTCCTTGGTTTACCAGGATGCATCTTTTTTTTTGTTCTTGTTACTACTCTGTTGAGCAGAGAAAATATTGTGAAACTAGTAAGTAGGCTGAAATGTAAGCTGTAGTATCTTTAGACTATACAAAATGGTTTTAAAAGATGGGCTCTAATTAATTCCATTTGTTTGGTTTTTGTATTATTTATTCATTGTATTTCACCATTTTCATGCATATGTTTTGCAACACGCAGATTGCATTCATGGTGTGCTTGGTAAACAGTACATAGAAATTAAATGGATTAGATTAGAAAGCCATGACCAAAACCTGTTTGTTTTCTGAGTGGGGGGGAGTCCAAAATGTATGTTATAGATTCTTAAAATTTTATTTCTAAAAAGGCCATTTTACTAACTTAGGGATGATATTATTAGACAGCTAGGGAATTTTAAAAACTTATTCTTAATGTAACATAATGCCTGCAGGAAAAAACATCCTCACCCTCAATCACTGTTCTTTACACAGCCCTAGGGTACTTGGACTCTGTTACTTCAGAGTCTGTCAGTATCATTACCCCATGTTAGCCAGTGCAGTTCCTGTGCTCCACAGCAACATCGGTAAAGTGTCATGGAGTTAAAAGCACACCAGACATGTAAGGAGAAACGCCTTATCAAACCGACTAGTAACATAAATTCCTACATTTTTATATTATTTTAAATAAATCGTGTTTTTGTTTGTTTGTTTGTTTTTTTTAAAGCAGTGACCCCTTTTTAACACCAGCTTCTTTGAGAGCCAGTGACAAAGCTCCCATTAACCTTTAATGATGTTAGAATTTCATCCTAATACCTACATCTGACAGTACTCTCTCTGCATAATATTGCTTATGTTACGGTGTGTGTTATTCCTGTGGCTACATCTACTTTCCTTGCTTTACTGGTAACAATGGATATTGGGTCTGATCTAGTGGTCTTTACTCAAAATAAGGTTATTAGATGTAGAAATAAGACAGTGGTGTCCTATTCTTTGGTATATTATTTATTCCCTGGTTTAGTGTATGAATTCTATAGCACTCCAAGCTTTTGTCTTGTTAACAGTATGTCATTGCATAGATATGAAATAGTCAGAAATTTTTTTTCTGCAGAGCTGGAAAGTTACTAGCTATAATCTGGTATTTAAAATAGCAAATGTATTTAATTCTCTAAACTTCTAGGGGTGGGAGAGACATGGAGACTACTGTTATACCATTCGTAACAGTGAAGTATCATTTGGAGCCCAGTGCAATCTTACAGTAATGAATAGGTACAGTATAGCCCTATTTATTTATTTGTATTATAGTAATGCTGGAAAATGCAATGCAGGACAAAAGTCCTCTTCAGTTAGGCACTGTACAGACAAGTGATTTAGGGCAGAGTTCCTTCCCTAAGAGCTAATAAACCAGGTTTACATGGCCTAACAACAGTAAAACAAGTATTACTGTTTTACTTAATATCATTAATAGTCTCAGCTCGCCATCTGCCTAGCTGTTAGCAACTGTTAGTGCTTTGATAGTTCAAGCTGTATACAAATTAAAACCATTATAATATACCTAATCTATCAGAACCAGTTAGGTTTATCTAGGTGAGATTATCCTTAGTTTTCCAACTGATTTGATAATTGAAATATTGATATGACATCATTGTGAATGTTACAGATTTGAGCAAGAATTTATAAACAGTTTGATTGGAAAATATAGTAAAGTTGAAGCAAAATACTTCTGGATTGGCTTACAAGATATCAGTCATTCAGGAAGGTATACCTGGGGCAATGTAGATGGGGAAGAAAATGAAGCTGTGACATATACAAACTGGAATTCATTGCAACCAGGTAAGGTCTAACAATTCAGAAAAGAAAAATGATATGTTAAAGTACATTTTTTAATCTTGCATGAACAAGCTGTTTGAGAGTCTGTGAACTTTGAAAATCTAGTTATCGGATTTCAAAATGTTCTCTTTTTCCCTTAAATCTTAGCATTTTCAGGAGGATGTGTGGCAATGTCAAATGGGAAATCCCTTGGAAAGTGGGAAACCAAGGACTGTAAAACATTTAAAGCTTTTTCTATTTGCAAAAAAAATATTGGGCCACCCAAACAGCCAAAAGTACTGCCTAAGCCAACTGATCAGTGTCCTCCTGGATGGCAAAATGGATCAGGCCTTGCCTGCTATAAGGTAATACATTATCCCTCTTAAATGGCTTAATTGCCATCCCTCTTGCCTACTCTCTCTTACCGTGTGTCTGCGAAAGAGAGATTAGATTAGTAACCTGTTTTTTGGCATTAAGTTGTGATGAACGAGGTACTTCACTCGGAGCCAATCAGAATTCCTGCTAACTTGAATAACCCTCCTCTGGTTGCTTTTAGATATTACACGCTAGAGCAGCAGCTGCACTATCCTTTAAAGGGGGCAACTTGTACTTCTCTGCCCCTGCTACCCTGGCACCGCTCAGGAGACCTAATCTAAATTACAGCGGAAGCACACTGTGCAGCGGCTCCTTTAATCTTGCTCTTTTTGCCACAAGACCCCTTGCTGCTGATTGGCCAAGGGGCACTGCCATTTGTTGTTGATTTGATCATGAGGCAAAAACCACAGTTTTTAAATACGTTGCAGTTTTTGTCTCCCATCACTGATTGGCCAAGGGACCCTGGTGGCCCTGCCACTGATCAGCCAGGAGGCAAAAACCATGGCATATTTTTAAACCATGTTTTCTGTCTCCTAGCCTATGAGCAGCAAGTGGCAGGACTGCCAGGGCCCTTCAGCGGAGGGAGGGAGGCAGGTGTGAAAAGAGCATAATTAAAGAAGCCATTGTGCAGAACACTTTCACTGCAATTTAGGTAGGTCCTACTCATCATATGCCATGGAGCAGAAAGTGTATGTACCATGGCATGACTGCCTAGCTTTATACTGAGGCACGAAATGGATTTTCTCAGGGTGCACTGATAGAGATTTTTTTTGGCCGATATCAATGGCTGATTTTTAACAAGCCGTATTGGCCAATACTAATCTGATTGCTGATATGTGGCCCAGAAGCATGGAGAGCAGCGTCTTGCTGGTAAGTGTGGGCTGAGGGGGAAAAGGGGACAGGTGGAGTGTGGGAGACCAGACCGAGGCCTCCATGGTGAAGGAGGGATTGGGGCTGGCGCTGGGCCAGAAGCAGGTGCTGCCCAGGAGGGGTGGGGCACGGGAAGGAGCTGCAGCTTGTCTGGGGGGTGGCTCCCTCCACTGCACACCCCCATGGGGGGCATGTGCCCCCAAGATCTGTGCACAGGGAGAGGGAGGGCTGCCGCTGCAGGCTGGGGGTGGCACCGGGCTCTTTCTGGTGGTGGGACTGAGCCAGGGCTGTGCTTAGGGGTGGGGGGGTGGCAGTGATGGTGCTGGACACAGGGGGCTATGGGGAATTTTGGGGTGGCTGTAGCCCCCCTCCCAGCACTGCTGCCACCTGCCCTGAGCACAGCCCCGGCCCAGCTGCCTGCAGCAGCAGCCCACCCTCTCCCTGCTCGCAGTTCTGGGAGGCACGTGCCCCACATGTCCTCCCAGGGTACGTGCAGCAGCAGGAGCCACCCCCAACCCCGTGCCCCTTGGACAAGCCACAGCTCCTTCCCATGTCTCACCCTGCCCGGCTGAGCAGCACCTACCTCAACCCGACTCCCTCCCTCAGTGCAGGGGCCTTGGTCTGCTCCTTCCCCACAACAGACTTACCAGCTGGTTGCTGCTCGCCATATTGCTGGTCTGTGCTCCTGGCTTCCTGTGTGCTGCATGCATGCACAAGACATTTATCAGCTACACTATTGGCCATATCAGGCAAAAAAAGGGCTGATTGCCGACTAACGTCAATTTTCCTTTTATTGGTGCCGATTTTTCCCCACCTAACATTTTCTTTATATTCTCTCAGGGAAAACTTGATTTCTGCCCCCACTCCTCCCCCCCAGTCTGAATGGGAGGGGAATAAGGAGTTAAACCTACTAAATAATATAAGCACATTTTTGAAAACGTATTTGCTATTGTAAGGTAGCTAGAAAAAGGCTGACTTAGAGTCAAAGTGTTTGCTAGAATGCCTTTGTTGACTTTGGATATATAAGATGTTAATACTTTTTTTTTTTTTTTTTTGTATTTAAAAAATTCCTGAAAAACATCTTGGAATCAAATTAAGTAAGAAGTAGAATGGTTAATTAAATTAGAGCTGCTCTTTCTGGATTCACTGTTTAGGATGAAGTTCCTACTTGAGACCAGAAAAAAATTAGAGGGTAACACACTTCAATGCTCACATAGGCTGAACTTTTATGCATTATCCAGCTTATGAGTACTAATGGAGACCTGCTAGAATGACCAGAGTTGGGGGAGAAGGGTCTGGTGTGAAGAAGATAATGCAGGGATGGGCAACATATGGCCTGTGGGCCAGATCCAGCCTGCTAACTGATTGGATCCAACCTGCAGGCACCTGCCAAGTAAATGGATCTGGCCCATGGGTTCTCAGCAGCTCTGGCTCCAACATTCACATGGTGCCAAGCAGCCAGGGTTACTTCCAGTGTGCTGTGTGTATGCACTCTCTCTCAGCTGAGACTGCCACAAGTATGCAAGCAGAAGCAAGAAACCTACCTGCAGCTGTAGCATGTCCCCCTGCACCTGGAACCCCAACCCTGAAGCTGCCATCCATGTTCGGGGCAGCTGTGAGTGCAGTCAGCAGCTGCTGGATCCGGATTTGGAGGGTGAGGTGCCCACCAGCCCAAATAATTGCCCACACCTTGGGTTCAGTTGGAGAGATCTGGCTGAAGTACGGTCCTGGCCAGCAGAGCCTGCCTGGAGTGTGGATGATGATCCTGGCTGGCATCAGCTGGGGATAGTTGAGAAGGGAAAGGAGAGAAATGGTCTGTCTGAAGGGGTTAGCTGAAATGGAGCAGCAGGGGCTAGATGAAGAGTAACTAACCATTGGGAGAATGAGGTCCAGCTGAGGGAGGTGGTTGATTGATAAGGGAGGTAGGGTTTTACCTGAGGAGTATCTGGGAGGAGGGAACTAGCTGGAGTAGTGGAGAGGAGGGAAAGCTGGCTTGTGTAGTTAGTGATAGACCAGTCTTGGTCTGTTCAGGTCAAGTGGGCAGCACTGTAGTAAGCTCCTACCTGTGATTATAAGGAGACAGCAGCAGAGGGTGCTAGAGACCTGCATCTGCTTTCGGCACCTCTGGGCTTGATTTTGGAGCAGATGTTATTTTGATTTTCTAAAAATCTTAAGGGTTCTTCACATTGATATCTAGAACATTCCTGGAATTTGTGAAGTTGACTGGATATAGTTTTCAAATATTACTGCAGTACATGTAAACAGATAGAGAAATGCCATCAAATTGAATGGAAAGCCTCACTTCCCTTGACTGTCAAAAATGTGAGCCAAAATTCAGAGAGTTCAACTATTCCTGCAATTAAAGCTGAAAGAATATATATAGTCCAAAAGGAAGGTTTCCCTTAAGAGAAATAGTTTATCTCACACAACAATGATTTAAAAATGCTGCAGTTTTCTCATGCAAGTGAATTTAATAGTAATTTGGTTTCTTTGTAAAGTTCTTTCATAGAGAGCGAGTGCTGAGAACCAGGACATGGGAAGAGGCAGAGAGATTCTGTGAAGCACTAGGAGGGCATCTCCCTAGTTTTAGTCACCATGAAGAAATGAAGGAACTCCATTCTATGCTAAGAGACATAATCAGGTAACTATCTGGAAATCCCATTATTTGATTTCCATTGCACATTAGTGTAAATCCAGAGCGCTGCTGGTGAGTTTACATAGGCTTTGATCCCATATGTTGAAGTCTAAAATGCAGTGCATCTTGGCCCAGATCTTTCCTACATCCAAGAGGTAAAAGTAGCACTTACAGGGATTTTGGTTTACAACTCAGTAAACATGATCCTCTTCCACTATATTAAAGTGTTAAAACATCTAGATTTATGGTTCTCCCCTTTTTTACCTGGAAAGATCCTTAAGTAACTAGACTTGGGTTATGTGAAGATGTTCAGTTTTTCCTTGGAGTTTTGCTTTTCTCCTAGGAGAAACCACAAGTGTATAGATGTTCATGTGTTTTTCTTTCAGAGCAAAAATGTCTGCTCTGGGAGAAAAACAAATCTGAAATGGCTGAAGTGAAATGGCTCTCAGGAGACCTGGACATCTGTACAGGGACACATCTGAGAGAAGCTGAAGAGCAGTCCTCTGGAATGGCAGCAAGCTTTGCTCCCTGCCTTGCTTTCCCCCCCCTCCCCCCCTTGGGTCCAGGGAGACTGTGTCAATCCTAGCCAAGCAGGGAGCAGAACACACCCCCTGAATAACCAGTGTCAAAGCACTTGGGCGGGGGGGTATGTTCTGCTCCTGGATTTTTCAACCAGAGCCAACCCTACCTGGTGTGGATCTGAAGAGCCTGGGGTTCGCTCAGGTCAGAGTGAAACTGAGTGACCTGCTCACCCCAACCTGGACCCAGCTGATCCCTGCCCAGAGTACAGCACTTGGTGCTGAGAAGGACAGCTTCCTACCTTTCTGCAACTGGGCTGGACATAGCATGGGCAATTAGGGGCTAGAGGACCTGGGCATGGGGCAGACACTTCCCTTCCCCACCCCCCTCCACCCTCCAGACTGCAGTACTTGAAGCTCTGGGACCCCCTAGCAGGCCAGTTTCAGGACTGGTGGCTCTTTGCTGCCTAGCTCGAGTGTGTGTACAGGGCTCTCCAGGTAAGTTCTACTGGAAGAAAAAACCTGAGAGAACTCTCCCAGATCATTTGAATGCGTGTACACAGCCTTAGGCAATATACAGGTGTTAGTTCTACTGGGAGAGTTGCCCCTTTTCCAATAGAAAGTAGGAGCATGCAAGAATTAATTCAGTTTCTTCTGGAGGAAAGATGCTCCCTCCAGGAGAAAGATCTTCCAGGTTGGCACCTAAGAGAGAAATTGAACACTTGTATGCTGCTTGTTGCTTGACTCCTCTGTGTTCTGGTAAGTTCCCATTCTGGAGAATGCACAAGGGGCTTTGCCCTGCTTCTAATATCCTTCCATTCCAGTCTACATGAGGGGAATGGAGTAGCTGGGAAATATTCCCTATTCCTTCCCCAGACCAGGATGTCCCCAGTTTGGAGAAGCACAGGGAGCCAGACTTTGCTGCTCCACTACCCATGGGAATGGGAGAATTGGAGCAGCCACTGCTCCCTATGCCTTCCCCAGGCTCTTGCCCTGTGTTGGGGAAGGCATGAGGAGCAGGGAGAGAAGGGGTAGTTTCAGGCAAACCACCTGTACTACACACTGTCCCAGAAACATTTCTGAGAAATTTCCACCACTAGACATGATCAGCTATTTGTACCCTTAGCCTACTCTGCATGCTTGTTGACAATTCAGAACAGCCATTTAGATGTTTACCTCTGGATAAGCTTAGCTGTTAATCGGTTACATCTGGGAAGCACACAATATCCTTAGGCATTCTCACCTCCTCAGATGGAGAATAATATGCAAAAAGACAGCTTGATGCTGAAATCGTGGGCAGAGGAGGAGGTTCATGAAAGTTTGTGCTCTAGATGTATCTTATTTAGTTAATCTATAAGGTGCATATCTACCCTGCCTTTAGAAGGAGGAGGACTTGCCCAATAGGTTAATGGTCAGGGTACTTGCTGTGGACATCAGAGACCAGGGTTTTAGGACCCAATTAACTTGAGCACTTCACAGGAACATGCTCTAAATATTGGGCATTAAGCTAGACAGGTTGGAGGGTATCGTCCATCCCTCCTGATGAATCTGGCCCTCTAGCAGAAAGGAATACAAGAGCCATGAGCCAGAATGAGAACAAGCCAGAGGAAATCTGCCTTTATAGTCAGAGAGGGACATTTCCTTGCCAGTGAGAGAAATCTTTATTTATGTATTTTTCATTAAATAGTCATTGAATAAAATACATAAACACTGGGGCAGGACTGAAGCAGACATTTGTTGTGCTAGTGGTGGCAAAACCTTACTAGGAAGAACAGGATCTGCACCTGTGTATGTAACTGACAAATGATTAACTCTTAATAGCTTCTTATTTGGTAGATGACATCTTCACTAATCAAAGTCCATTCAAGAATGAAACTGAAATGAAGCAGTGGCAGAATTAGCTTGAGAAAAGTGGGTATATTTGGATATATTGGATAAAAGTGGATATTTGGCTTCTGTTGACTTCAGTTTTATGTCAGTTTGGTTCTATTTAACAAGCTGCCAACCCTTTTCCAAATAAGTCAGATCTATGAAGAGCTGATGACATGTTTTGGACTGTCCTTGATCACTTTTGGAATTCATTCTAGACATATCCCTAAGGTGTATATCAATAGGTAGTCAAGAAAAAGACAACACTGCATTTTGAAAAACGTTCAGTGAAGTAGAAAATGCTTTATAACATTCACAATAAATGGCTTTTGAGATTTAATCAATCTCACACAAAGAAGAGGCAATCGGTCTCAGCAACCATTTATTTTTAATTGCAAAGAAGTAGTGATTTCACTTAAACCAATTTTACAAAATTCTACTTACCTACTTAAATAGGATAAGTGATTTTAAATAAAGCAGTAACGTTTTTCAGTCGTCATCTTTGTTGTGGTAGTGGTAGCAAAAAGGGGGGGTTTTGTTTGGTTTTTTTTAAATAAAATCCTGGCTGTGTTGTAATCAATGGCAAAACTCACATTGATTTCAAAAGGATTAAATTTAATGCCTGTTAATTTCACCATTTGTGTTTCTTTAAATGTTTCATGACTGTGTCAAAAGGCTACCTTAATTGCTGTCTTATCCAAAATATTTGCACGTTAGCAGTGTGTAGCAAGTAGACATCCAACATTTAATTGGCAGTCAAGTTCAGGGGTTTGCCCAAATGCTTCACTGAACACCTCACAGATTGCTAAGTCAATTAGGAGAGCTGTGTCATGGCAATCAATCTGCTGGACATGACATGAGTGTCAGAGGAACACAGTTTGAGCAATGGTTTCTCAGCACCATAGAAATGCAGAGACAAAGCAAAGACACTTGGTTTCAGTTTCCTACTTAAAATGACTTTAAATCTATGTTGTTTTTATAAAATGTTTGCTTCCTTCTGCTGAATTTTGGCATAGCAGAGTGACAGTTGTTCCATGTTCTTGACTGCTGCATTCTGGTTGACTTGAAAAAACTTACTGTAGGAATAGTGTTTTATTAAAATGTTAAAGTAAGCTGCATTTTTACACACAAGATGCTTTTTGCCTAAATTAGGTTCTGGGGGTTTTTTGGTTATTTTTGTTGTTGGTTTTTTTGTGGGGGTGGGTGGTTAAATGTAATCAGTGAATAATATGCCATCCAGCAATCTGGCTGGCACACATTCCACTTGGCATAACTGGGATAACACTATACAGACATTAGATGAGTGTGTTGATCTCTCTGGTATAAAAAATGAAATGCTACATAATTTATGAATCTTGGATTTTTGTCAAAGAAGCTGTCACTGAGAAGCAGTGCTATATCATGGTTATGATGTCAGATCCATAATAAGGTTTTTGATTGACAGCTTAGCTGTTCAAAACCCTTGCCAGTTTAAACTTGATGCTGCCAACCAGCTGCACCAAACTTTATGTTTTCCTTCACAAACTACATTGAGATTTGTTTAAAAGCTCCCAATATACAGTCTCTTGTCAGCAATTTTCAAAGTTAGTAGCTCATGACTGGCAGTACTGAGAATTCCATTTGATTTGTTTAGAAATCTACAAACAATGAAAACCATCTAGCCAATGTTTATACTAATAAAAGAAAACAGGACATCAACATGCTTTATAAATAGACTGTATGTTCCATAAAAAGGTGCTTGTGACTTCTTTGCCACTGTAGCTTACTCATGTCCCTGAAATGTAGTGTAGCACACATGTTCATTGTATGTAGATGCTGTAAATGTCTTTTTTTTTTTTATTATTTTTATACTACTGCAGATTTTGTTTTTCTATTCTTGATCCACTATGAAATATAATTAAATTTTTTTCTCTTTTAATTTCCCTGTTTTTAGTATAGTCCTTAATACTGCTTTACAGATTTGATATTTCTTCACTAGCTATCCAGGATTAATTATAGTTAATGGCCATATTTATTTTGTTAGGAGTCCAAAGGTGAAGATTTACTATTTGCAAAGACTGCATTAATGCATGATGCTAATTATTGCTACTCTAATGTTCTAGAACTCTTAAATTTAGCCTGGCACAGTGACAACTCGATAAATGCTTGAGTAGAATTTATTAGTGTTTGGACTTAAGTAGTCAATAATAATAGCTGTATGCACTCAACTTTAACACAAGACAAAGAGAATATTGATCAAGAACTCTATTATTTCTTTTGTAGAGGTGTTAAATATTTAATAGTGCTTCCAAAGACTAGCAGCCTTTTATTATTCTTTAAATATATTTATATGGAGCTATTAATTGGTGCTTTACATCTTAAAATTATGCAGGGCTGGTGATTATATAAACAAACATTTCAGCAATCAGAGGAGATATGCAGCTTATCTGTAAACAAAAACTCATTATAAAAAAGTACAAAATAATTTTTCAGCAAAAACGAACCTGGCTAATAGAGAACATTCTAGCAGAAATGACTAATCTGTGAAATATTTTGTTGGGTTGTATTCAATCACAGTCTGTCCTAACATGATGATAAAGTGGTTTTAATTTAGGAAGAAACATGCCTCACTGTTTTCCCTCATCCCTCCCTCCTCTGACTCATTGAGATGTGAGCATTTGATAAAGGTAGTTTGGTCTTCTGTTTGGCACAGGACAGAGAGAAGGCTAGTCTGCCTGCTTATACACTCAGATTTTACTTTGAA